CGGCTGGAACGATTAGGTCAACTGAAAAATCCAATGAACTCATCGGGGATCGAACTAGTGACCTTTCGACTTGTAGCATAGTGCCTCAACCAACCACGCTACCGCGTGTTCACTGGATATTGATGATAATCTTATATTCACGATTTAACGAACTTCAAGGCCTTACTGTCTTAAAGACTATCAGCTAACTATGACCTCCAATTTGCTTGACGGTTAATTCCCAGGTTGTCTGACGACGCCGCCTTAACCGCAGAGATTGACACAACGAATAAATTAAGAGGATCATCATGTACGGAGAACTGGAAAAGAACGGGAGGCCGTGTTATTCACCTATTTCAAGCAAGACCTAAAAAGAGGAGACGGGTGTTTTTCAGAGGAACTCGCTAGACGCGGCACAGTCAGTGCTATGAAAATACGTACACTAACTGAGCTCAGAGACAGCAGCCGTTATCACACAAGCCACTCCCCACATTCGTTCGCAGTATGGCAACGGATTGTGGAGGGCACGGATCGATTTATTGAGCCCAAATGCCTCAACAAATGGTACGCCTAAAAAAACATCGGTATCAACAATTTCACCCTAAACGATAGTAAGTGGGGAGTCGAGAATATCTGCACAACGAACAGCTTGTCCTAGCACAATTAAGGTATTTATATAAAGATTACATTTGTCATTACGTCTATTTGGTGCAAGGAAGTGATTGACAGGTGTGCGGAAGGCGCGATACTGTAGGTGAATATGTGCTTTTCATCTTCTAGGGTTACAGTACCTACAATTTTAAGTATAGGAGTTTTATTAATTGGGATTATTTGTCTACATAATTGTGGATTAATGTTTTAGATCAGTATTTTACTTACGTATTGAATATACTGGTATGTGCACAGGAAGCTATTCTATACGTTTCTCAGCTTTACAATCGGCTGACGGGTGGCTGTAAATTAGACATTCGATATTTTAGGTGTTTACTGCATTGTTGAGTATTCTTGCTTTTGTGTATATATTGTGTCTTCCACGTCTACGTTTGGGGTACGTGGTTGCGTAGGTGGTTGAGGTACCATGATACAAGCCGGAAGGTCGTGGGATCGAATCCCGATGAGGTGGATTTTTTCAATTTACCTAATCCTTCCAGCCGCACTATAGCCCTGGTGTCGACTAAGCCTCTAACAGAAATGAGTACCAGAAATATTCTTGGGGGTAAAGGGTGGTCGGCGCGTAGGGCTAACAACCTTACCGCCATCTATGAGCCGACTGTCTAGAAAATGTGGGAACCTCAACATCTCACAACCCCATCGGCCTCCAAGGCCTGTTGCTGGGATACCTTTACTTTTACTTACATACCTACGTTTTCAGAGCGCAAATTTAACCTGACAAAGTGTTTGCTTGAAAAATCAAAATTAGCCAAACATACATATGAGGAAGGATACAAAATATGCTGGAATGAAGTGAAGGTCTTGCAGAAATACAAGGAATCAGCCCACATGTCTCTGATAGACTATCGGATCAGTCAACCCAGCTTGGACGCTGCTCCCATCTGGATCCCCGTTATCACAGCAGAACTAAAAATACTTCAACTCCGTCAGGTGTAGATTGAGTGAGAAAATTTGTTTTCCTTATGTTGGTATCATAAGGAGCATTTCTTCTCTCCTTTGATGATTTCTATTGAGATTCTTCTCTAGTGGAAGGCCTCGCACGCGTAGAGTTTTTAATAATTTAATGCTTTCTTAGCTCTCGCAGGCGGTTTGTGCTGTTTGGCTTGTATATCCCATCTTGGTGCTGTCATAGGTGTCCGGAGATAGGGACTAGCTCTATCGATTGGGCCCAACTGATTAGGTTTTACCTGAAGACGGAGACAGAATCCAATTTCCGAGACCTTTTTTTTAATAAAGAAGACGGTGTTTTTAGATAAAGATAGGACAGTGGATAATATACAGAAACATAATATTTGTACTGTTTAGGTATGTTTTGTAACTTTTGGTAACGTGGTGGGATGACGAGGAAGTGGATATATTGGTGGGGTTGAGGTGGATGGGGAAAGCAGTGTTCTTTTTTTGTAGGAATATTCACTATAGTGAATAAATGTGTGTTTACGATTAAATAAAAAATCTGCAATGTCCGTAAATATTATAAACTTTAATATAGGTTTATAATCAATTGTTGTGTTGACGGCCCCTAAGTATACCTTTGTTACTTTATACACAACAGGAAGTCGAAAACAGAGATAATTTATACTTGTCAGAAAATGCGCAAGCATTTTACATACACGAGAAGACAATGAAATAAAAGTGATTACAGAGCGGTAGTTACAGATCCTAAATCGATAGAACTGTAACTTTATATAGACATGAGGAACTATCATTTCACAAGTCTACAAGAATATCGTCTCTTCCGGTCTGCGGTTCGTAGAACCGGATTATTACGTCACTTCACAAACTGCGACTCATGGCCATCAAATGGTGCGAGGCACCGAAATTCAAGCAGAGAGCGTAGATATTCCAAAATTCCCTAGTTACGCTTTTAATTTCCTGCCCTTTTCCCAGATTTCTTACCTTAATTCTAGAATGAAATGGGTGAAGCAGACAACCAAAAAGTAAAAAAAAGAAGATCAAACTTTTGTTAGGAATTCGTGGGAAATGGAAGCCTAACAGGCCGAAAATATCCGATGACTTACATTTTAATACGCGTTGTCACTGGCCGATGGCAAGTCACACAGATGGGTTACTCCTCATAACGCGAACATACCACCAACGTAAATCAAACTGCACAGAACTTACACTTGCGTATGTGACAGACGTATGTTTTATGAGTTTTCCTTTCCATTACCTGAATGGTACTGAAGGCCACATGCGACCCGCGAGCTATGGCTTGAAGAATGTCTCCATGCTTGTGTTTTTGTTTAAAATCAATATTACTAATTTATATTCATAAAAAGAAAAATATTCACTCCTAAATTCAACCTTCCTTATTTGACTACTGTACACCTGTTACAAATCTTCGTGCATGCCATGTGCGTCCTTGATCAGAGACCCGTACAAAGGTACACACATTGCATGTAAAAAAATCGCTTTCAATCTTAAAAACAACGGAGAATATTATTAGTCTGTAAACGTAAGCCTTCGAGCAGCTCTTCAAACGCCCGGCAAGGCCACGCAACAGTCTTTCAGTTCACATGACAAACATTCAAGTCATCGTTGAAAGCAGAATGGCTTCCGGATCCTGTCGAAAGGTTCTTTTAAAACGCCATTTTCTAACTCACATGCAGAGAATACGACGTACGACTTACGCAGAACACCCGATTTTCATGCCAAACCTAACGTTAACTTCCTATTGATATATCGCACAAAATATCTGAAACTCTGAAAGAAACTGGACATACGAAATTTCCAAACATCAGTCAAAAATCGGAAAACTGCTGTTCCTTATCTGAGGTACCGCTTAAACGTACGTAATTCTGCGAAGTAAAGCAACATACTCCTTCACGAGATTTATTCAAGGCACTGAACAAACTCCTAACCGATATTTCCTTTGGATGATCTTTCAATTTTCCGTCCTATATGTAGTATATTAGTATATTTCATATATCTGGATTGAGCTGAAACTAAGGGAAGAAAACTAGCTTCCCCTTTGGGGCATCCATTATCAAGGAATAAATTATGTGTCCTGCACTGATAAGAGGTACAAGAAGAATCAAAGGAAGAACACAGCAGATGATATGAAGTGTGGTTTACTATAATAAAAGGTAAGAAGTATGTTTCTTTAACATAAGTCCAGCATTCATATAATGAAAACTGCATGGAACTGACTTATTTCTGAGAATATAATTGCGGTCCAGATAGTTATAAAATTGCCGGCCTTTTATACAGTCAGAAAGTTCATTACCTGCTCCCCATCCAAAGTGAGAATCGCCCAGCTTGCAGGCGTCACAGTCTGTTTATTTAAAATTAATTCTAATAGTAACCTAACAGTTATGCCTCGTTCTTCGAAATGGTCTCTTCCTTTCTATTTCCGGAAAAGTAGTTCGTTTCTCATCTCTCCCATATGTGCTACACATATCGCCTCTTCATTGTCTTTGAATTGATCAACCCAATAATATTTATTGAGACGCACAGATTATCACGCTCCTCATTATGTGATTTTCTATCTACTATAATTTCCTCCCAAAATTAATAAAAAAACAAACTCCGTGGTCTGTAGTCCGCAAGAGAACTATACCGACCGAGCGACCGCTGCTTGTCGGCGAAGTTAGTGCCAACTTTTTTGCAGATACAGAGTGTCACGTGGTCGGCTCAATTGATCCCACAGCCATTAATCTCAGTTTTCTAGACCGGAGCTGCTATTTCTTTGAAACAGCTCCTCAATTATCCTCACGAGGCTGAGCGGACCCCGTTCTAGACCCACTACTTCTCAGAAAACCTGGCAGCGTCGGGAAGCGAACCCGGCACCCTTGTATCTGTAGCCAGGAACTCTGACCAAAACTACCCAAATTAATAAACATTAACACAGAAAGGCAAATTACAGAACACGGATTTATTTCTAACAGACATAAAAAGGGCGGAAGTTATCACTAACCACCGAGCTATGAAGGCTTTAACAATCACTGAGGGTAAAAGCCATTGCCTTCACTGACAGTGATCATGAGTCACACAATCGCATTGTCAATATTTTCGACTCCGAAATGTATCTGGTTAATGTTTGAAAAACAGTTTGGATAAAATTCAAATTTGCGTGAATATAGGCCTACTCCTCTGTCCTCCAGCGTAGCATAACGTTACAAGTCCCTTCCCTTGACTGCGAAATCAGCAAAATACAAAAATTGGGTGAAACAGCTAAGATTTGTAACCGTCGTGCGATATCGAACAATTAGACGCACTTGGAATTATTCGGGCGCTCGGCCGACTGTAACTACCCTCACCAGTGAGAGCACTCGCCAACAAATGTTGAGTGTCTAGTCAGTCTACAGCGAGGCAGCTTAATGAGCTGATGGAAGTAACATGCAACTCACCGGCGATGCTGAGGACTGTTGAGACGACTAGGACGAGGGTGACGAGGGGTGGCGGCATTCTGCAGTGAGCGCCACCTGGGGACGCGGGGGCCCACCGCGGGGTCCGGGCCTCCGCAGGGGCCGGGTAGCAGGCGGAGGCACCACCTACACCCGTTGGACAGTCCGGGAACTCGCGTCTTCGGCCTGCAAGAAATGGAAAGACAAGTCAGATTCAACACATTTCACTGTGTACCATATGCCTTAATAGTCAACAGCCTGACCTTACTGTAGCCTACAACAGAGGCACGCAATTTCAGATTCGGTGTCAACAGTAAAGTAAAGTTTTCCTTTTGCTTAAGTAATTAAGGACTACGCCATGAAGGCTTATGTCGGAGTAGATGTATAGATCCACGTTTTCTTGACGTCGGCACTAGTTGGAGGTGAGTGATCAGCTTCATGCCCCGTCCGCTTTACTCCTGGAGAAAGAGCCCCCGGTATCCATTGGATAGGAGTCTGGGTGGGCCCCAGAGCCGGTCTGGACGACGTGCAGAAGAGAAAATTCTTCAACCTCTCGGTCGTCCAGTCCGTAGCAAGTCACTACACTGACTGCCCTATCCCGGCTCCTCGGTGTCAACAGTTACACCACAATAGCCTGCAGCGGCGAAAAGTGACAAAAATATGTAACGTTATTAGTACCATGCAACTGCAATTTAAAAAATCACGAATCGTGTTGTTCTGTAAGAGAGGAAGCCCCTTCATATGTCACACAGGTTGCTATCAAGTTGCTTTTAATTTCGCAACTGAAACAGTTGTCTCGACTTAAAAAAAAATAAGATTTTTTTCAGAAGCAACAACGTTCGGGGAGGGATGAAAACGCATCTGGCGGAAAATACTCCTATACACGTATGTATCTATAAAAGAGAACAGCATGATACTGACGTAAGATAATAACGGTATCTACAGCTTTGCTGATGAAATATTCGTTAAGTCGATACTAGTTGTACCAAGAATCTCTCCGACCATGTGAGAAGCAGGCCTGACGATCCTGCGTGTCTGGAAGGCATTACCTGTCAAGGTCATATGAACTGAAACACAATGAATACAAATGAGAAGAAAAAAGAAAGATCAGTCATTATTTCAAACGGTTCGATTTTCTAAGTAGCAGCGAACTTCCCATCCTCTGGTTTTCATAATCACACTTAGAGACGCACCTGGCGATTATAATGATGGCAACTCCGGCACGATCTTTCAGACACATGCAGTGTTTCTTCGGAAGCTAATATTCGCTGAAACATTTCCACATATTAAATTTCAGGTTCATTAGCATGTCCATATAAGCCCGCCTATGGACCATATCCTCAGACAGATGAAGCCTGTGCATACCCTACTTCTTTGTGAGCCATCCTACTGCTGTCCTCCCAAGTTCTCTCTCCTTCAGGCTCTCCGATCAGAATTCTATACGTATTTCTATTTTTTTTCCGTGCATGCTATATTTCCCGCCATTGCATTCGCTTTCATTCGCTCACAACAATAAGTTCGTTATTATGCAATATTCTTCGCCCTCCTCTTGCTTCTTTTCTCAAGGGGGAAGGTACGCGGTAGCGTAGTTGGTTGAGGCACTATGCTACAAGCCGGAAGGTCGCGGGATCGAATACCGATGAGGTGGATTTCTTTTTCAATGGACATAATCCTTCCAGCCGCACTATTGCCCTGGAGTCGACTCACTCTCTAACAGAAATGAGTACCAGGAATTAATTAAACAATTTTCCTGTGGAGTAAAGCGCGGCCGGCGCGTAAGGCAGACAACCTTACCGCCATCTGTGAGCCGATTGTCTAGAAAATGTGGGAGCCTCAACATCTCACAATCCTATGGGCCTTCACGGCCTGGTACAGGGATAGCTTTACTTTACCTTTTACTCCGTTTTCAAACATTATCTAATGAATGCTTTCCTTAGACCAAGTTTCACGCCCATCAAAAAACAGGTAAAGCTAAAAATTAGTATATTTTAATATTTACGTTTTCGCATATGAAACGGGAAGAACGGAACTGAACGGGAGCACGCATTCCTCGAACTGAACCCAAGTTTCAGACATGGAAGTGCAAGTGTCTAGGGGCACACCTTGGTTAACACGAGTGTGCTTCCTTTAATGTAAAGAGATGGGCAATGGTTCTCAAGTAAGGCTCCAGTCACCATATGCGGCCACCAGCAATTTCGAATGTTGGTATCACATATGTTTATGATTAATAAGTAAGTTTTTTGCTGTAAACCTTTATCCAATCTCGCGTTCTGTACAGTCAATGAATACACGTACATTATCCGGGAATAGTCGACCAGTACTATACGGCCGCAACCCTTCTTCTTCTTTAACAATAAACAGGCCTACCGCAATAAATTCACAGCCGAAAATCTCTCCCAGTCAGCTATGAAAAGGAAAAAATAAACAGTGAGCACATTGCCATGTGACGTCGGTCTAAATCTATGAAGGCGGATCGACATCAGAAAATGGTCATAGATTCTGCTTTCACTATATAATGGGACGCAAATCGCCATATTGGAAATTCTGTTAAACGCCTATGATTTATCTTCCGTAAGGTTATCTACTCAAGAGAGATGTTTTGTAAGTATAGTGGAGCTGTTGTAACTTACGGTAAATGCACTTCCCCCGTTTTGCTTTAAGTTGTAAATGAAGAACAACCTTGAAGAAAGTCGTCTTCTGGGGTCTGGCGTCGTGTATTCTTGGTTTTAACCGACGTTTCGGAGGAACATATCGCCTCCATCTTCAGAGCAGCTACAGCTCTCTGTATTCGCACGCAACTCAACAACCCTGAAGATGGAGGCGATATGTTCCTCCGAAACGTCGGTTAAAACTAAGAATACACGGCGCCAGATCCCAGAAGACGACTTTCTTCATAGTCATGGCCGTGAAAACCTCAAAACTTACGAAGAACAACCTTCTTTGTAGGATTTGTTTTACATATAGAAAGACATGTTTTAAGTTTAAGGTCACAGATCATGTTTCTAGTTTTAAAAGAAGTCATGGAATATTTTTGCTTCAGAACTACTGCACTAGTGAGTCTCAGCATACAATATGCATTAAGATGTTGCGCGTGGCTGCTTATTTGCCCCTGTTTCTAAGCATGAAGGCATGGCATCCGTGCAATCGTAATTACCATTACAAATAAAAACACCTTGAAAACTCTCAACACACTTTCTCTTTCCGTTTCGTAGTGTCTGAATCATAAAACGTTCTGTAAATGCAAAGTCATAATAAAACCAATTTTCATCTATCTACGAACGAATTCTGTTTAATTCACAGTTTTAAGAGTAACGACTATCTAAGTTTTGGAGCTCTATATTACTATGTGTTCGAAAGCAGTGCCATAGCTCAGGCGGTCAGCTGCCGGCTTCCCACCGCGGAGGTCCGGGTTCGAGCCCAGGTCATGTGAGATTTGTGGTGAACAAAGTGATACTAGGGCAAGTTTCCTCCGAGTACTTCGGTTGCTCCAACCAGTTCTCATTCTACGACTGCTGCATACTCATCATCATTCGGGGCTGGTACAATAGGCCAGTTAGTGGCCGACGTACCATGTGGACTCAAGGCCACCCCACACCACACCAAGAAGTTAAAAAAAATAAACTACTAGGTGTTCGAACACACCAAAAGCCACAGCCCACGAAAGGAGAGTTTATTCTTATTCCATTGCAAAAACACCGATCATCGCAGGGCAGTGGTTAGCACCCTGTTTCGAATACGCAAATCGTGAACTGAAACTTGAACTGGAGGCTTTTCTGAGCCTCTGTATAACGATTTCTCCAATTTACCATTCACATGAGCCTGTCATTCGACGCTATATGAATGACGTAACGGATAAAGCGCCATTCATTTAAACATACACAAACCAACGATAAAACTATTATGAACTGTCAGCTTCAGCACTTCTGTTGAAGCGACATACTTTTCTCATGATCTCGTCCTGCGTTCGACTTCAAACAAGGTACAGGTAACATGTCACAATATAGGCCTACATACACAGTATGCAGGTTGGCGCCGAAATCCGAATAACTCACTTCATGGAGTTGAGCCATTTTTTAGAATCCGCCAATTGTGCAGCTACTTACAAATTTCCCAACATTTTATGGAACCCGAAGATTCATTACCGTGTTCACAAGAGCCCTCCAGTGGCCCATAGATCAGTCCAGTCCTTACTACCCTATCCTAAGATCCATTTTAATATTATCCACCCATCTAAGTCTTGGTCTTCTTAGTGGTCTTTTTCCTTCTTCTTTTCCCACCAATATCCTATACGCGTTCCTCTTCTCCCCATTCGTTCTATAAGTCCTGCCCATCTCACCCTCGACTAGATCGTTATAATTATACTTGGCGAAGCGTACGAATTATGAAGTTTCTCGTTACGTAGTTGCCGAAATCCGCATACAGAATAAAACAATCAAGAGCATGACAAATTTATTTTGTTTCACTTTAAGATATACATTGCGGTCTGGGAGAGGTCTAAACCCAGCGTATCAACGTAACAGATGCAGTATGGAAAATCACGAAGACTGCTAAAATGGAATGTGAACGATCGGCCGCAAAACGTCGGCATACGCGAAAACGATCTAAGGAGAGCAAGAGATTAGGCCTGTGTCCTATACCTGTATATAATTTTCAAGTTAACATGAAGCTGGATGCTTGCATGAGAAATATTCCGCAATAACGCACTGTACTCGCTTCAAAAAGGCATATGAATTTTTTGATTATTTAATGTTGTTTTGTTAACTGCGTAGATTGCACACAGCGAAACTGTACTGTGGTTGTTAACGCTGAATCGTGTATGTGAAAGCATTCCTTGCCTACTTTAAATTTAAGTACTGTAACATTTCCCTGGAGGGACCAGTGGAGGGCTCTCGTGAACATGGTGATGAAACTTCGGGTTCCATAAAATGCTGGGAAGTTCTTGAGTAGCTACACAACTGGCTACTTTTACCATGAAGTAAGTAACATTTGCTTGGAAGGACCGAGAGTCCCAAGAAGTCCCAGACACTTCCCACATGAACCCATGACATTCCAAATACGAAGCAAAACGTCTGTTCTTACGTCATGAAGTTCAGTTACGTCAATCACGTCCGTCAATACTGAAACTCCAAGCTACTAAATATTAAACGAATGTCAGAACACTACTTTACAGCAAGCCCATCCGCTTC